TGTCAGCAACGAATATTTCTTTTCTTATGAAAAGGCTATTTTCATAAAAAAATTTCTGAAAAATGTTGAAACTTAAAATCTTTGGCAATTAGAAAATTTTTATAAATTAGCAATACAATTAAATGTGTACCATATTAGAAATATAGAAAGTAAAAAGTTTTTTTTAAATTATTTAAATAATCTCGTTAAAAAAACTTTCTTTTTGAGATAAGTGTCTTGTGAAGTGGGCTGTAGCCAAAAAAGGTTGAGTTTTAGATTTTCCAAATGACTTCTTAGTTATAACAGGAAATATTTAAATATCTTAGTTATATCATGTAATATTTAAAAGTTTTTTCTTTTATAAGGTAAGTAACATAAAGGAATTTGCACCTCTATTTATAGAATGTGCTGCCCATTAGATTCAATAGTGTGCATATAATCAATGAATCAGCTATCTTCAGATATATTTTTAACATTTTGAAGTTTTTCTTGTCTGAAAAAATAAGGAATAGGGTAAGACTTAAATTTTTTATTATGTGGGCTGTAACATTTTGTTTCCTCTGAATTATAAATAGGTATAGAATTTAATATTAATATTCTGTGAGATTTTTTTATTATACTTGTTTTATGATTTTACCAGAAATAGTATTGCATTTTTTTATTATACTTGTTTTATGATTTTACCAGAAATAGTATTGCATTTAAAGCAAACTGTAGACGTATTATGTAAGTGCTTTATAGGATATTGCTAATGAATTAACTTTTATAGAAAAATGTGTTAAAAACATTAAAAAAAACAACGACGTTTCAAAACGTTACAAAAATCGACAAAATAAATCATTCTTGGGCTCTAAACCTAAACCGAAGTCTGAAATTATTAAGCTAATGCAGGCATATAAATTGGATACAGTTTTTTTCAGAATGTATTCCCATTTTTGGAAAAAATCTAATATATTTTTAATTTAACGATAATACAATTTTAAAAGATTTCATGTAAAAGGTAATACTTCTATACTAAGTCTATTTGAAAAAAAAATTTTAGAAGCAAATATTTTTAATTTTGGAATATTTGACATGGAAAAACTGTTGGCCCAATTTGAGAGATCAAACTCGAAGATTTTAGAAATCATGTTCTTTTCAATCATGTAAATTTGCATTAACCAAATTGATCGTAAGATGTTAAAAGCTGATTTCCATTTTCTATACAACCATAATTAAAAAATCATTGTATTATGAATAGTGTAATCCTATAGAATGATTTCAAAATGTTAAAGCTAAAAAGAGGTTATTATCTTACAACGCTCAATTTTACCGATTCGAACTCTTTTCACGCTTAAGAATGACGTCATTTCTAAAAGCTTCAAGCAGAATGTTTCAACTTACGCCAAATGTTTTGCCAAGTGTTTTTTTTTCCTTCTTCTAATTCTGAAGAATGACCTAGGTTAAACAGGAGTCAGAAGGGCAGATTTGTTGGCTACTCTTTCGGGGGCACCATATTAGATGGGCCAACGTTGCTCCCATACTAAGGACAGATAGGACAGGGAATGAAAGAACATCGATGCTCTGGCCGGGACTCAAACCCATAAACTTTCTGATGCAAGGAGAGATCCCTGGCCCCTACAAAGGCCGGTCGGCTTTTGCAAAGTAAAATCTTCCGAAACCTTTGTTGAACAGAAAAATTGTTTACACAGAGTTATCAGAGAAGTTATTCCATTATTTTGATCGAACCTTGTACACATAAGTCTATTATATTGTCTACGTAAGCATTAAGAGAATTACAGAAAACCATAAATTTACAGCAATTAAACTTGATCTGCTTGAAATAAACGCTAAGAACTTTTACGGACCTTTTTAAGGGAAAGCTAAATTTGTTTTAAAAGTGAAAATTTATACGGAATAGATCCTCATCCGATCTCAAAATTTCCTCTGGGAGCAACAAAAAAAAAAAAAAAAAAAAAAANAAAAAAAAAAAAAAAAAAAAAATCGGGACCACTCCCTTCGATTCAAAATAATAAATACTGGTAATTTCAATATTTAATTTTTAAAATTCATTTCAAAAAAACAAAAAAAAAATCGAGTGCGATATACTACAGGGGTTCGGTAAATTTATTGAAAAACTTCTATTTCAACTCTATGTAAGCAATGCATTTCTTTTAGCAGCCAACGTTTTTGAAGATTTTGCAAGGTAAATTTGTTGGCTCAATTTGAATGATCATGCTTGAAGATTTTAAAAATGATGTCCATTTTATCCATGAAAAATTTTCATGTGACCAGGTTGGCAGGGCGCTGGACTCCGTTTGTGAGAACGGGAGTTCGAATCCAACCAGCCGAAGACTACCCGTGTAGTAAATAGTGACTGGTGCACGTCAAATCTGTCGGTTCACGAAGCCATACATGTTCCTATAACAAATCAATACCTCTCTGGGAGTACTGAATTGGTTCGTAATCTGGTTCAGGTGAAAATTGCAATCTGTGGATGAATAAATGGATGTATGAATGGGTCAGCCCTATAAACAGGTGTGACATATGGGTGTGGCAGAAGTCAAATTCTTTTCCATGGAAGACACCACTAGAAAACAACAACAATCGTGCCACTTTGCCTTAATGGCTGACGACAACAACAATTATCTTATTATTGATTTGTATGTTTACTTTTCAAAAGAAAAGCAGAATTCAATTTAATTAAAAAAATAGACTTTCTGCTCAATAAATATAAAAAGTGCCTTACTAACATTGTCACTTATCAATGAAATATTTTTTGTATTATTGAATTAAAGCTCAGGTATTATACACTACTATACTGTACTAAAATCGCAACACCAGGAAGATGGCCAATCAAAATCGTGAAATTACAAGATAGAAAAAACCTGATGTGATATGCAAACGATCAAGTTTTAAGCCTATTTATGTAAAACAAGTGGCAGTATTAAGACAGTGTATTAAAACAGAGGTTATAAAGCATTTTTCTAGCACTCAATTTGCTGTTGAAGGTTACTTTCGCCTTAGAAAGTTGTAACAAATGCCTCGTGTAAGACATTGGGGAACAAATTTTTCGTTGTATTTAAGTATTTGATTTTATCTAATTCTTGTGTAAGGTCTCAAATTTGAAATTAATTTTATATTGAAATCTACGTATTTTTTCTAAAAAGATGTTTTTAGTTTAATTTATTTATCTAAATATTCAATTTGTTAAAGAACGTGTAGGTTTATATGCATACATATACAATTGTCCGCTTCTTTGAAAATAACACTTAAGGTATCTGACAAGTGCAAAAACATTATTTTAGGCTAAATTTTCGAAATTGAGTTTATTATAAATTAAGAAACCCTCTACTCTTAGCTTTCTGAAAATACTTTACTTTTATGTGTTCTCCAATTATTTGCAGAGTAATATACTTTTTGCATCATTAATGCTTTTTTTAGCATCATTGATCCCTAACTCAGTAATATATGCACTTGCTTTCAAGATAATTGTTCAAAAAATAATTGATAGCCCTCTAAATAAAATCTCTAGAGTTTTTTTTTTGTTTTGGGTAATATAAATTTTTTTACAGTGTTTAGCCTACATGTAAAAAAAGTCTTATATTTCCCTAAGAAAATTATAATAATAATATATGTTTGCTAGTTTTATTAGATTTTACACAAAATAAAACAAATAAACTATTTTTTTTTAAAATTTTATGTTAATATTTAAAAAAAAAGTTGTCGAAACTAGTCAGTTACCTTAAGACAAAAAAACAAATGCTTCCGACTTAACTGAAATTACTGATCTTGAACTGAAACATATTATCACCTCCATCCTACCACGCCTTACAGAACAGAAAAGTAGGGACGCTTTGTCTTCACTCTAGTGAGTTTGAAAGAAAATCCTACTTAGTAACATATTGATTCTCATAAAAACTGCAGCTTGTAGAAAATAAAAAACAATTACAGATTTGAAATAAGCAACGCGAAAATATCTATTATCCTTCCGAAAATCACCTGCAGAAAAAACAAAATTGTTTTTCAGTGTAATGGCCATCCGGGGTTGCAGTTTATCGTTCTGCACTATTGCTGCTGGCGTTAGCCGTGATTCTTGAACTGACTTCAGAATATAGGATCGGTGGGTTCAGAGTTTTCATTTTGATTGTTGTTTTTAATCACAGTGGTCCCCCACTACATTATTCACAAATCCTCATTGTCACAAAGGGTCACACAAACACAATACGAACCATGACTATGGCAATGGATTCAGATAGATTTTCAGCTTATTCGTGTAAGGAAGGTGGCAGTGACGACAATTACTATATGAATAAAAGAGGTCTGACAGCAGCTTTTCAAACTCTATTTGATTACGATAGGTTATTTTTGGCTCAAAAAGTTGTAATGCTTCATGCAAGAAAAACAGGAGGGTTACCCTTGGTAACAAATTTTTTTGTTGCCTTTATGCAAGTACTTGATCAAACATAATTCGTGTGGGGGATTTCAATTCGGAAATTAGTTTTGATCCAAAAAATATAGAACTTTTTCTAAATGACAATACAAATCGTGAGTGTGATCATGAAGTTTGTAAAACATGTTTGTGTTCAAACAGTTAGACAACGTTTGTCTCAATAAGTACCACCAGAGTGGAAACCAATACTTATGTAACTTTTGACACTAATTCTAGACAAGAGCATCTTTAGTTTTTTGATCAGTGACCTACCTGGACACATTAACACGTTCACGCCGGGAAAAGTGAAAATACTGGTACGGGAAAAGAGAAAATACTGGTAGAAGAACTACTTCAATGTTAGATAATATTCGGTCAGAGTTAATCTATTCTCAACAATAACAATTCACTGTAAGGAAATTTCTCACGGCGAAGAAGCAATTCAATATAAAAATTGCATCCGTTAAAAACAATTGGTAGTAATGGATTTTTATTATTCCAGGAAAAAAACTAAAAAATGAAATTTATTGTTACCAGTTTTTACTCCGGTGTGCTGCCAAGATGAGACAATCTAGCGTGACCCACTGGTGGGTCACCCCGGCGTGAACGTGTAAATGGGGGCATGTCATGACGTGAATGATCAAAGGCGTGTCTACGTACAGAACAGAGATTGTCGAATACGTGTTCGGCTGACACACGTTTGAAAACATACGTAGCCAACTAGAATTCGACATCATTATACTGGTTCATAACCCATAGCGCTTAACTACCATGGTTCTATTTGATATGTATATCTATATTCTTCTTGTTTGCATGCATGGAACGTACGTAAATTATTTCACTTCAGACGTGTTACCCCTCGTGGTCTTGCCCTAATTTCGAGGCTTCTCCAACCCAATTTCTCAATATTGTGATAAATTGATAGTAGTCGAGTGACACAGTTCAGCTTCTTACTAGACATCTCAAAATGTACTCCTCTTGCGTTACAACGAAACACTTATCACGTGCCATTTACTGGCAATCAATGACTCTTGTCTAGATTTTAGAGATGAAGTTTCTCCCCGTTTTAAAATTCCAGATGTCTTCGAAATCAAGACAATTGAAAATCATGCTGTTAATGTTTGACGATAATTGATGATCTTAGTTATAGTGACAGACTCCTCACCAATCACTAATTATAACTGTCAATGAGCTGGTGTATAGACTTGAAACTGCATGAACTGAGATCCCAAAAATACTACATGACCAGTTTGGTCAGATCAATAGCTCTCAATGATTGAACTGTATTAATTTTATACTCATTTATTTTGTACCAGCATTATGGACTCGCTCGTGAGCCTGTTACACATACACATACACTGCTACTTCCAGCACTCAATTAAATTCAATTTACGCTTACAGCGCCATCTATATGTTTGATGGGAATTAACACTATACAATCTCTGTGTGACCTCTTACCTCTATCAATAAACTTAAGGGAACTAGCTTTAGATTAAACTTTCAATAAACTCTAACTGATCTATCTGATCAGGAGCAATGGATTCCCAAGTGATTGGTGTTCAATGTCTCGAAATCTGCTTCTATGCAAACCATCCAACTTTTGCGAGATCTTTCCTCACGTTGTGCTCTCTACGCTTGCAAAACTCACCCTTTTAACGATGTTAGAACTGTCGCATGTGGCGTAATGTACCCCAGCATTCTTGTACCATAATGTTTGATGATTCTGATAATATTAGATCATATGTAAAAGTAGACATAGTTTATATAATATACAAAATATATTCCACAAATATATTTCCTGGAATATATTTTGTGGAAATTTACTATAAAAACATCAAAAAAACATATAGGCAAAAAATAACATATTTTCCCAAAAAACTCAACGAAGCGAAAAGATACTGACTAAGCTGATATTATTATTGGATAAGATTTGTTAAGGCACCATCAAAACGGAAGTTCACATACTGGAAAAAAATTTGCGAACAATGAACTGAGATTCTACTATTATCAAAAATTTCTTGATGTTGGCGTTCAATGGATTAAAGGTTAAACTTATTTAAATAAATAAAATTAAAAGCAGTCAGATTGAAATAAAAAAAGTTTATGCAAATTTTATTGAGATAAAAGGTAGCATAGTCCAAGGTTCTCGAAAGATAATACAGCGTCAAATCAGGCGGCCACATTTATTTAAATATTTATAACCTTCATTAGATAACGTTTTCGTGCAAAATAAAGAGGTGAGATTTATTTAGATACTTTTTAAAACCTTAATATTATAATTCAATAGGGTAGTGGGATAATATTGTAATTTAAAATGTTCTCTTTTAACTATTACATTAAATTGCGTCTTTTTTTATGTCTAAATAAATGCTTCATGATTTAAAACTTAAGCACTAATGCTTATGCTGTTGTTAGTTCAGCTAAGTATTGCTATTGATTGATAAAAGAATGTATGTATCAATCAAGACAAAAATAGTTTTTTTAAATAATATTAATAAAAATTTGATACGTCCAAAGTAATAAATAAATTTGTTGTAAAAAGAGGCAAAAACAGCTAATAACAGCTTTAAAAAAATTAAGAAAACTCTCTAAAAAAAGACTTGAAAGTAAAACTATTTGCAATTGAAAATAAAGGGTATTTAAACGTTGTAAAATAATTCAAAATTAATTCATAAGGACTTTAATTAATTATAATATACGAAAGGTATGTAAACAAAATCCTATAATGAGAAATAATTAGTTTAAATCAATCAAAAAATTCTTACTGTAAACGTATGATAAAGAAACTTTACAATTTTTACTTTATACAGCAAACGTTTTCATAATTTTATTCGCATTTCAGAATGTTTTCCTTATTATTTTATTTTTGGATTGTGTACTACTGAAAATATTAAAACTTCACCTAATCTCTGAAAAGGTTTTTGTTGGAAAAAATCTTTTCAACAAATAAAAAAAAATGCAATAGCAATTGCAATTCCTAATATGATATTCTTAGAAAAAATGTATATGAAAGAGAGAAAAAAAACATAATTGCAACAGAATCTTTAAAGAAAAATATTAACTATTCATTATTAACTGAATCTTTAACAGCAATTTCACATTGAAACTGAAAAAATTTTCCTATTGTTAGTAGATAATTTATATTAAAATTACCAGGAAACGAAAATTACGATAAATACAATTATTAAAATTTTATTTACGAACAAGAATATAAAGAATTTGTTTCAAGTTAAACATTGTATGGGTTAAGTCTGTATAAACTTCATTTTAATTAAAATCTCGACATTAATGAATGGTTACATAAGAGCCGTGGTGGCTCAGGGGATAGAGCGTTCGCCTTCCAATGAGGTAAACCGGTTTCGAATCCCAGCAATGGCTGGTAGATCCGAATTCCGCATCTGCCTTGCACTGACCACAGTGCTGACGTGAAATATCATCAGTGGTAGACGGAGCATGGGTTAGAGTCCCCTTGCCGTCAGGCTAACCGTAAGAGTTTTTCGTGGGTTTACTCTCCATGTTACGCAAATGCGGGTTAAGTCCATCAGTCCTCCACGAAGGCAATTTCTGACAGTACTCGATCCAGAAATTTCCTTGTCTTCTGGATTAGGTTCAAAATTACAAGCCTAAGGAGTTGAACATAAGTCGTAATTCTAAAATTAGTTCGGCAATTCAACGATGGTTAAAAAAATTAAAATAATTATAACATAAAATTAAAATATTTTAGAAAGATAAAAGTGCTAGTTTAAAGGCATACGAACAACCTGTACATAATAGAAAAGCGCCCTTAGCAGCGTAAGATGACATCTCCGGTCCTGGTTTAATAGATAATTCTTACCCACCATTATGATGTGCCCTACNTATATATATAAAATTAAATTTTAATGTAGCATAAATGAGGAACTTGCCACTACACTTCAACAGCAGTCCTTCAGTTACTCGATCAAATATTTTTATTATTTTACTCATTTTTTTTCTTCCACTTATCACTATTTTATAATAAGCGTTTTAAACTTGAACTAGAAATGTTACAGTTTCAAAAATTCGGGTTTTGTTTGAGAGTGTTTGATAACCTGATAAGAAAATGCTTGATAATCTGATCAGTAAACTTAGCAACAAAATATGTCGACACTGTTTAACTAAATTGTATACTGGTTATCATTTAAATTCCTATTTCTACAATGCTCAATCTTTTTACGAATTTTATTAATTTTTTTAATTTTTTTTTCTCGGGGAAAATAGTTTAGGACTCATGTAACGTCTAGGACTGCCTTCTTACATCCAAAACATTCAAAATCATCTGTGAAAAGTCATGCACTAGTGAGAAATAGGTTCAAATGTAGGGGAGAGTGGGGTCACTTTTTTCTTAACAATTTTTTACTTAACTATTTTTAACTAACGAAAATCCAATATATTATTAGTATTAATTGGCAGACGAGTAAAGTAGACTATCCTCTACTAGAAAAAATACCTTATTTTAAATGTTAATATATTAGTTATGAACAATTTTTGACAGTCGTGCACTTGTTACAATTGTCCCCACTTACGGGGTCAATTGCAACAGTTCATAAATTCAACTAAAACATAGTTATCTATTCATATCATCTTAGTTGTGATATATTTTTTTATTGATCAAAATAGTAGTGATATTTTAGGGGTAAAGATAAAAATGAGCACAGGCCTAAGGGGTTAAACTTTTAACTTTAAGGGATTAAAAATTTTAATGCTGTGAAAGGTGACAAATAAAATAATGCACATGCAACATAATATAAATGATATAGGAAACTATTGGTTGTTCTTAAAGAGTTAAGTAATGGTTTGTAAACATAAGATTATTTATTTTCAGCTGTTGCAATCGTCCCTTTACTTATTGTTACAATCGTCCCCAAGACGCCATTCCAGCTTCATTTGTTAAAAACAATGCTAGTTAATTAACAAAACTAATTTTTTTTACTGAAATGTTAATTAAGGTGTCCACTTACATATTCGGTTAATAATTTCTATTTGTTCAAACAAAATTACTTTGTTACAATATAATATTCTAATACCAAAAAAAAGTACTTCCACGGCGTGAAAATATCTTTTGTGATGTAACTCTTTCAAAAGTACACAAAAATGGTTGCCAGCAGGGGTGTACGTGGAGATTTATTAAATACACCTTGTGCGCCACCTAGGAACCAAATCTAGAACCCGACACTCGAAATTTTTGCTCTGTTACAATCGTACCCTGTTACAATTGATCCCACTCTCCCCTATGCATGTATGCATTTGCCCGAAAGATTTTCTGCTAATCTTTCATTTAAATTATGCATACTCAGCGATAAAAAAGCACATAAAAGTGATAAGAATTTAAATTCATTGAGAAGAAAACCAGTTGATTTTTAAAAAATACTCTAGGTCAGTAATCACCAATTTTATGATGCTTTGCAGAGGTAACAGTCATTCCATAGACTGCTGAACTCAAACTGTTTTTTATTTTAACTTTTTGTAATATATCATGATGTATGGGATATGAGCCTTCAGCGTGGCCCAGGTGCCCAGTTTTTGAAAATAAAATAAGAAATGTTTTGGAGCTACCATGCCATTTATTAATTTATACTGACTTTTTTTTAAATTTCTTATTTTATTTGCTTTTACTAACAAACTTAACTGGATCACTACGTTAATTAGCGACAGCTAAAATGCTATAATCAGAAAATGTCCCCGAGAACTTCCTAGAACAGCCGCTCCCATTTTTTTTTCCAAATGGAACACTAATGGATTAGCCTTCTTGTAGTGGAACCCAATTTTTTTTTCTTTTTAATGGCGGGCCCTTGGAACTGTTGTCCTTTGGCCACAGAAAGTGCCAGAACTGCTAAATATCTTTTCGTTACCCAGTTGGCACCTGTGGCGAAGCCACGGCGGCGGAGCAGCATCGCCCACGTCACACTACCACAACCCGATAAATCAGCTGATTATATCCATTTATTATCTTTGACTATAAAATAGATTTTTTCTCAGCTACATATTTTTGGTTATGGAAAATTTGCTGGACAAGTGGCAAAAGTATTCGAACTCAAACGAAGCTGTCGAGACCGAGTCATCTGCACCAGGAGAGTCTTGTGAAAAGATTTCGGATCGTACTTTTTAAATGATTGTTTGGTAAGACAATTATACCGAATTTACACAAATTTAAATTAAATAAAGCAGTTTAAAAAATTAAAATATTTTTAACATTCTTAAAAATTACAGAATTTTTTATTATAATTTTAAAAGTATTTATGATTATGTGAATAAATATATTCATCGTATTTCACATGACAGATCAAGGGGGTTAAGGCCTTATGTTGAAACTTCCGCACAACAATTAATTTATTTTTTAATTATTATTAATTATTTTATTTTATTTTTTATTCTATTAATTTTAATATTTTTAATGATATGAGGTTCATTAAAAGTTTTACAAATTTCAGTATTAAAACATCTTCTTTGTCACCATTTTAGAATTTTTCTGAGAATCCATCCCTCAAAAAACTGAAATAAAAGTACTATAATTAAAAATTTCTAAAATTGATATTTTATATAAAAGTAATTTTGTATAAGTCCCGCAGGGAACTGATAGTAAAGACAAGTTTCCAGTAGAACACCGAAGTCATGCATCACTGGCTCCGGTCAGTAAACGGATGGGTGACCACTTTGATCAGCCTGCGTAGGGATCGAGGGGGCTCGGTATCGGTCCTCATTAAACTGTTCTACCGTAAAGCGTTCGACTTCGAGCACAGGTAGTCAGACTACCAAATCAGGGGAGCCATCCCTTCTGCAGAGAATCAAAATTGCGGTGGCATGTCTTGGGATCATCCTCAGTGATGTTTCCCAGACCGTCGTAAATAACCCATTGTGCAGCTCTAGAGCGACGTAAATAAAGTACCTACCTACCTACATTGGTATAAATTGAATTCTCAATTCAATTTTTTAAAATTTAATATTGTAATTATGTCAAGTAAGCAATTAAAGTAAAATATAAATACTAAAAGCGTATTCTGCATTAATAAAGCAAGAAAAACGACTTTATTTACTTATTATTTGTTATAGTTTTTAATTTTACTCTTTTAATATTTTGCATATTATGAATTTAGATATGTTATGAAAATTTTTATGTTTCTGAAACCAGATTTTAATGAACCTTTACTTTCATACAACTCACACTGGAAATAATGTATGATTAGTCATTTTATAATGTTAAAATATATCTTAAATATCAAACTACTTCACTCTTTCTTAAATTTAGTGACAATATATTGAGGCTATGCATTTAAAATGAATTCATTAGTTTTTCCCCTATAACTTTTCACGTTAAAATGAAATAACTGAATTCAACAATAACTAACCAACAAACTAATATCTTTCCATGATAACCATTCAAAACGTATGTAACAGTTCTTTATAATTTTCATTTCAACGAAAACCCTGATTAACGGGTTTCAGAAATTTCCCAATGTTCCAGTCAAAATTTTGATACCTAGCTTCGTTTAGTTAATTTCATTCAGTTAGCTAAGGCTGATTAAGCATTGTATTAACCTCCTATGTGGTGGATGATAATTTTTGTGATGAGTGGCAGTGAGTAATGATAGTAATAATTAGTAATGACTTGTAATGATAACTAATGCTGACAAAAGGAACGCAGAACAGAACGCTTTCATAAGCGATTTTCATTTAATTTTATAGCTAGCGTATTTTACAACAGCAGACCCAATTTTGGGTTTACCGATATTAATGTACAACTCCGTAGCCTTGTAATTTTGAACCCAATCCAGAAGACAAGTTATATGAGGAGGCTCTGTGGTGACAGTCCAAATTTAGGTTCAAGTCTTGGTTAGATGAGTGACAATTTATGCAATATTCTTCCCCTTCTGTGCAGTTTTCAACACTATGGCCTTTGTAGCCGCATTTCTCACAATAACAATGAGACTCTGTACCGGAGTTTTGATGGTGTCCAATTGTTTGGCATTTTCTGCATCTGAGTAATGCTAGTCTTTTTTTGATGGTGCACCTATGAAGTCCAGTGAAAAATGTTGAAGTCTAAGAAGTGTTGTGGAAAGTCTATGGTTGACTCTGATGATGATGTGACGCTTTGTGCTGTCTCTTTTATGGGGTATGTTTTTAGTTAGTTTTATGACATCGTAGTTTGGATTAAAATCTCCATTTATCTTTATTACGTCAATTACCTCGTTATCTGTGAAAGTCGTGGGAGTGTTTAGTAGGATTAGTGAGAAAAGCTTTACATTCTTCTCTTGATATTGTAGACCAGTTTTCTGTAACGTGGTTAGAACTCTTTCTTTTTGTTGAGTATTATGGAATTTGAACTCTAGCATCTTACTCTTTTTGTATACTTTTTTGATTGGTAATTTTGGTTGTTCCTGGATGAGCTTCTCTAGAATCTCGTTAGTGGGGCAATCTTCTTGTTTGACGATTATAGGTTTGGGTGGTAATTTTGTTTTTATAACGTCAACTTTAACCATTGAGCACATCTCTAATTTCTCAAGTCTTGTATTGATGATTTTTAATTTCTCATCAATTTGGTTTAATGAATTGTAGGATTGATCGTTAGTTGCAACGTTAGTTCTAACATCTTCGAACTTTTTTCAAGGAATTTATTATAATTTTTTTCCTTATTATTAGAAAGTTCTAAATTTTTTTTTCTTTCTTTCTTTGCACATTAGACAGGGAAAATTCAATCTTTCAAGCCGAACAGTTGGCAATCCTTGAATGCATTTAAATATATTAAGAGCACTGAAAACTTCAATAATAATGATAGTTATATCATCTGGTCAGACTCAAAAGCATCAATACTTGATTTTGGCACAAATAATAGAATTTCTTTTGATATTCAATAAAAACTTCAACACTCATCAATCAAATTTCCTGGATTAAATCACACAACAATAGAGTAGGTACCCGTTCCTAGGCAGGAGTGATCTGGACTAGTGACCAAGTCCTGGGCTATATGGTTAAGGGTTTTTCATAACCTAGGTACATGCTCAGGGCTTGGAGGAAAGGGAAAAAAATAAAAGTTATATGGAACCGGTAGCAAATACTGCGGGAAAGCGAAAAAAAAACATGTTTTGATTTTCCGGAATCCACGTTTCTCAGCCGAATTACTTTTTTTTCTCTTGATCAAATTACCCTGGGTGCACAAGTACTCCAATCCCTAACAGCACGTCTCAACCGCACAGTACCGTCATTAACTCCAAATCTCAATTATTCATTAACCTAGCAGTGCTATGTACAATAGATTTCCATTAAAATTATTAATAATTTATTCTCATACCTAATTATTACAATAATAAGTTTGACTTAATACTCAACTCATAATTACCATTATCAATACTGTATTACATCTAAAATTACACTTTATATGTGTAAATATTACTGTATTAATTGTAATGACTAATTATAGCTCCTATATGTAACTGTTGCCATTTGCCATTAATGATAAGCTATTTTCACTTATAAGTTATATTTATCTATGTACCTTGCTGACAAAGCTCAGCAATAGTATTTTCAATAATCAATAGTCTTCAAGTGTTTATTCAGTAATCTATTACGGATAGTGCTTAATAATGTATAGTAATGAGAAATGATGTTTTACAATATTTTATAGTATTATGTTTAACAGTGTATAATAGTGTAGTATGGTAATTATGTATAATAGCGTACAAATTTGTTTACAATATACTTTAATTTCAACTGAATAACTATATAAACACTGCACTAAAATAAATCCTAAGAAAGCTCCGTCTAATCTTTCAAATAAAGTTTGACTACTGGGCCCCCAGTTATCTCAATCAACAATCTAATTTTACTCATCTTCTAAGTTCAATCCCTAATTCTGTAACCTCCACAGGCTTTTCCATTTAACACAAGTGATGCTGTTTAACTATAAACCTTAACTGATTAAAGCGTTTTTAAGTGTGTCAGTTTCATCTAATTTGTAATTTACTTTCCATGTATTAATCATTTTCCCTTTCAGCAAGCTCAGACAGACGAGCTTTAGTTAGTCTGTAGGGTTGTAGGATTGGGCACTAGGTGCGCAGGACCGCACACGTTGTTTTGCACAGTGGCCATGAAAAGCCGCAAACCAGCTTCGCAGGTCGGCAGACCACCTGCTGTGTCCAAACATATCTATAATGTCTTATAGGCGAATAAAAGCATATTTAAATCACTGGGTTTCGATTAATTGTATGGAGCATCAAAGAAATGAGGAATTTAATCCCTAGAACTTAGTAGGGACAGTTAAGCTGAATTGTATAGAGCATAAAAAAATGAGGAATTAAATCCCAAGAACTTAGTAGGGATAGTTAAGCATGGTTCAACACCATTGTTATAGATGGTGTCCTTGTCCGTATGTTGGTGTATGCCAGAATCAGGATAGGGTAATTTTATAATTATTGATCTCATAATGACTCAACCCGTTTGATTAAACATTTTAAGATACAATTTCTACAATTATCTGCTCAAAGTTCAGGTGCTGAAAACAACTTCATTTTACTTCACGATAACTATCATAAGCATATATCTTGCAGCGCTCGCATCTGGTGTTTCGATAATTAACCGCAAGCTTTAAACACCCAACCTCAATGGCCATATTTATACCCGATAAAACATATTTGAAGAAAACTGGAAGTTAGAGTATGGAAACCTGTCATTAAAATTAAAAATGAACTAAAAACTATAACGGTGAAAGAAAAAATGAGTTTTGATCTAGAAGTCACAATAAAAAAATTTGTTACATTTATTTGCAGATTTATAAAAGTTATTGTGGATACCAAATTATACTCTACTAAACGTTAATTTACCAAAAAATTAGAATATTTATTAATAAGCGGAGAATTTTTAAAAGAGTACGATAAATTTTGTGAAATCTAATTTTGGTTACTTTTTATTTATTGATTTCTTAAAAAATAAAATTTTGCTTTAGTTTTAAAATATCCCAGTTAATTTTCCTAAGAATGTAATATCTTATTATTAAATATCTATTCTGAAATATTCATTTTAATTAATGGACAGAACTCTATCTCATTGAAAGTCATAAGTGTACGAACACTTTTGAGAGGCACTGTAGTCGGTATTAATTTTTAAAAAAAATTGAAATAAGTTTTAAT